GAGGATTATTGTGGAGACATCTCCACAGTCTTCTGTCATCTATTGTTTGATGAATGAGGGTGTGTGTTTGTGTGTGTGACAGAGAGGCAGAGTGAGAAAGACAGACACAGAAACGGAGAGAGACAGGATTAAAAAATGGCTTGGATGTCTCCTGTCAGAGACAGTTATATCCACTTTTAATATTGTTTCATTTTCTCAGGAATTTATAGCTTCAGTCTCCTAGCCAGCAGAACAAGAGCTTTACCATTGGCTTAATTAGGACACTCCTAAAAAAAAAATAATCATGGTAGTAGTAGAGTGCTAATTTCTAAGAGCTCTTTCACCTCTTCCTGATAATTTTAACTTGATATGACTTGAAAGGGTAAAGGAAAATCCAGCCATCCTTTCATCTGTCCTCTAGTTCTGTTCTGTAAATGAAGCCATGCAGGGTACCTTCACACATCAAAAATTCTAGAAGAATCCCCTTTATCAAACAAATTCTATTCCCTAAACAAGAATATTTTATGTTCCATTCAAAACTGGGTGAGTTACAAGCCCCCTGTATTTCCTCGAATATGTCTATATGACAAAATATCAAAATTGAATAAAAATAAAGGCAGAATGATTAGATGTGTTAACATTAGTAGAAAATAATCTTATCTTTGAAATAAGTTATTAAAATCTGTGGTGTTGAGAATTGTTTTCTGCCCTTGAACTATTCCTTGAAAGTCTTCTAGCGCCATCACGACATTACTGTCTCGTTCATAGGCTGTCTTACGTTTAAAGTTACTTCTAGTGATTAGATGATCAAGAACATAAAGTGTGAAAGAAATGACTTTGGCTCAGAGTCTAATGTATGAGCATATTTGGCCTGGACATATCAGCCCAGATTGGCTATAGTGAAACAGCAGAACTTGCATGGAAGCCACTGACTAGTTATGTGACTGGCTTTGGTAAGTTTCTTATTCTTTCTGAGCAGTTTCATCACATGCTAAGTGAGAATAAAAATATTACCAGTTGTTCTTGCTTCACAAAATTATTTTGAGTATTACATAAAGAATGTGTGTGAAAACACCTTCAAAATTGTAAAATATTGCATAAATCATGGTTGTTATCTTGTGATTGCTGATACATCTTTACATCTGTATGTCTGAAGAAAAAAAGTCTACAGCAGAGTTTTTAATCACATACATAATCCAGTTAATTTAAAACTTAAAAAATAAAACAAAGAGGTAACATCTTATAGAAATCCCATTAGACCCTAAGACTTTAAGAGAAAGCAAACCAGCTGAAAGATGACCACTTTGTGACTCTCCTTCCATCAGTGGCAATACTAAACCCACGAGAGGGAGGTGAGGAGTGATGAGAATGAGTCACAGTAGAAGAGAGGGGACTTGTATTTCTGACATAAAAATAATTGTGGAATTTAATTGCTTAGGGAGAGCTTTGGTGATTCTGTGAGCTAAATCTGTTGGAGTGTCCTAGAACCTTGCACATAAGGAGCGTTCATTGGAAGTCTGTGGAATGCATGAATTTCTCCGTGAGTCAGTCCAAGTCTTGGAAGTGACTTATCGAGGCACATAATAGAAGTAGAACCAAGGTCAAGCACAAGACAGGAGAATTCCAACCCAGAATTCCCTGTGTGCTGCCTTCTGTGGATCCGGCCAGGTTAGCTCTGATTGTACAAAGATGCAGCCACAGGGATGGGAACGGAGCCTACTTCTTCTCACTAAGTTATAGTTTCCAGATTGAATGCTAACAGGGTCCAGCTCTAGGCAGAACATCCCTTTTAGTTACCATGAAGAGTTGTCACTTGAAGAGATAAAGCTAGACGCAGTATTTTAGGTAAATGAAAGGCTCGACGTGACAATAAGGTTAGGTTCAGCAGCTGGGAAGGAGCGATGTCTGGGTCTAAGCTGCCGGGTCTGCCCGTGGGAAGAGAGCCATAAAGGTCAGCAGCTCTAGAGGATAAAGCATGCATGTTCTGTTTGGCAGTGCCCTGTGTTCACACTACCTGGTTCCAAACTATTTTTTTTAATACATGAGGATACAAATACACAAAATAGAAATTACGTATATTTTTATTTTAGAAAATGATATACGTAACGATCTATTAAAGTACATTGTTACTGGATGTTTCCCCACAATGGGTGCCATCATCGTACTCATCCGAGGAGAGGTCGTACAACAAGCAGGGTCACCTTCACCCAGCATTAGTGCAGAAGACGCAGGGCTCTCGCAGGAAGCATTGCTATACTCTCCACAGTCCAGTGCACTCCCAGCCCACGGCATGATGCCCTGGGAGCTTCACTCCGTGCCATTTATCTACCGCCTGACAACCTGTTCTCAACCCATGAAAGAGTACAATAATAATCCTGGATCTCCCACAAAGAATAAAAACATCATCTGTTTTTGGAAATTAGTAAACTGATAATGTAGGAAAACTTATGGAATATAAGTAGTACAGTACTTAGAGTGAAACTGTAGACAAATTATATTTGAAAAGCTATTCTGACAATTAATGAGTTAAGCATGAAATGTAAGAAGTTAGAAGACAGCACAACACAAAGAGGAAATAAAATAATTTATAGTAAGAGCAGATATTAAATATAACAGAAAACAAAGAAACAATAGAGAGGTGAACAAAGCCAAATGTTGGTTCAGACCTCTGGAAAGCTTGATCAAGAAAAAAAGAAAATGCAAAAATAAACGATATTAAGAAAAAGAAGATGATTTTACTGTGGATTTAGCAAAGAAGAAAAACATATAGGAGAGTCTTATGAACCACGGGATGAAGTGGAAGATGTGCATGTCACACGACCAGCAATTCCATTGTAGTACAAACTCCAGAAAAACTTTCATACACACGCTACCCAGGTGTGTTCAGAGTTGAGCCTGCCAGGATGACTAAAGACATGGATAGCTCTGTAGCAAAGCACGTCTCTACCTGGGGTTGATGTGTCAGCAGAAAGGCACTTAGCCAAAGTTCTGGGACAATAGTGCCCAACGCTTGTCATGGGTGAGCTCTCAGTGGTTTCCAAGAGCTTGGAAACACCAGGAGGAGAGAGGGAGCAGGACGCTGGGAGGAGGAGCTCTCCTGGCTGCTGCTTTCTGAGCCCTCCTCCTGGGCAGGCTCAGAGGTGGCAAGAGGACGTAAGACAAGGCAGCGGCCTCCGCGGGGCTGGGATTGAGGCTGAGGAGCCATGTCTGCTCACTTCCTACTCAAGGATTTTCATTCCAGGGCTGTGCTACAGATACACTTGTGTATGTAACAGCAGAAATGCTGTTATTCACATGGGGGATCCTTTACTCCCTGTAATTTACTGAGTAAGAAATTACTATTTAGCTATGTTTTGGTGAAGAAACAAAGACATACTATATAATTATTATGGGGCCTTCTAAGAGTAAATTTTGAGTCTGTATCTTCTCCACTTGAGGATAAGACTAAATACTTTTCTTCAGAGCTTTAAAATTCTTTCAGTTATCTTTTCATGCTGTGAAACACCACTCAAAATATACCATAACTCTTATTTGCAAAAAATTCTCTGAAAGGTAGAATATTCTCCTCTTGTATGTGAGAGTGAACAAGCCAAAATGTCTTTGCAAATTTCTACGGGAAATAATATCATTTCTTCTATAGTACACAAACGTCTTTTTTCTCTCTCTCAACAGTATGAGTGTTAAGTCCCCGGATTGTAAAGGCCTTGATCTAAGAAAGCTCCTTCTTTTAGGCCTTGGCAGATGATTACTACCACCAATGATTTTATATACTTTATTTCCTTGGATTTTAGCTAGGTGGATATTTACTTTCTAATCTTGAAATTACCTGGAGAAAAATATAAGTTGCAGTCTGTCTGTTTTGTCTTTTTTATTTAAAATGTTGCTGTTATTAACTCATTTTTTCTTTTTACTTCCTGTTTAATAAATAGTTCCATTATTTGGGGTATAGATGGCAAGCTCAATTCCTCAGCTAGACACAATAACCATGTAGCATATAAAGTTCTGACAAATAAGGCCATAGAGTTTTAAAATGATCTTTAAGATAAATATTTCTTTCTCAAAAGTAGCTTAAGGGAAATGATTTTCATAGTCTTGAATCTTAAAGCATCACCAGCGAATAAATGCCATTTGACACATTCTCCATATGTGCAGATTTTTATAACTTCATTTGTTAGTTAATAAGATCTCCTGAACAACAGAGATTTTAGGCAAAGGCTAGATGAAATATTGATGGGAATATTATAGATAGAATTTAAGCATTAAGTGAGTGATTCAGTTAATGACCTTGAAAGGCACTTCCATCCCTGAGAATCTCTATCTTTAGATTTATAATGAGAATAGTGAAGAATTAACTTAAGGACCTGGTGACCTCATTTGACCTATGAATTTAAAAGAGTTGTTCACACAAATACAGTTGGGTTTTTTTTCAGATACTCTATTAAAATACCATTACAAAGTTAGTGGACAGTACTGCTGTACACATACAGTGTAAGTTTAATTTGTCCCCACCTCAGCATGTGTCTTACATGCACGGGTAAAATGAACAATGCTGTTCTGGCGCGGGGGCAGGAGAGCCCTCTCAGAAGACGCTGGCTGACTGGGTCATTCTGTTATCTGAGGCAAGTCCGTGTCCTGTCAGTGGGAGGTGGTTAGTGGGGAGTAGCTGGGTCGTTAAGAGTAGGTGACTGGGAACCAAGCCTCCAGTCCTGCCTCGGGTTCCCCAGGTGTGGTGAGTCTCTCATACCTTTCTGTGTCTCTGATGCGCCTTCTTGGGTAGACTATTTTAAAACCCACTTCACAATCACTGTGTAACTTGTACATCTTTAAAAATAAACTGTGGTATCTGGGGGAGGAGTCACTTCTCCCTCAAGAGAAAATTTTCATCGTTTTGTGTCTTAAGTTGACTCAGTTTCCGTTGTTGCTACTGGGAAATCACTGAGTTTCAGAACAAAGCAATTGATTCGGGATAAAAGATTTCAAACTTTAAAAAACAATTAATTTATTTTTCCTTTCACCCACAGGTCTACCCCCGGATAGCGCCGGCATTTTGGCACTACCTGCGGGTAGAAGTGAGTAGCGGGTACTTGAATCCTCCCACCTTGCTCCTTGCACTCGGCTGGTGTGGTCTGATCTGATGTGCCCATTCTGCTCAAGATGCAGCCGCCATTCTGTGTCGACACGCTCTCGCGCCACCACCATTCCTTAGAACTGGGTCAGAAATCCAAATCACCAAAAATACGAGGCAGTTTATATAAGATTAATCATCTCTCTGAATAAATTTCCAAGTCAAGACCATATCATATACATCATAATGAAAAATAATGAAGTGCTAAATTATGGAAAACCATGCTTACACTTCCTTTTAATCAATACTTTTGATATTTAGAGCATACTTCCTCAGCTTAAGTTTGGAATGTCTCTAGAAAAAGTAGAATAACGCTGCTTCATTTCCTTTCTCCTCTCTTCTGTCCCCAGGAGCATGAGCAGCTCACCTACTCCTCCACGAGGTCCAAGGCCCCCAGTGTCATCATCACAGGCCTCAAGCCGGCCACCAAGTACGTATTCCACATCAGAGTGAGGACAGCTGCCGGATACAGTGGCTACAGCCAGAAGTTTGAGTTTGAGACTGGAGATGAAAGTAAGTTTCACACAGGACATAAAGCAAGATGTTAATTTAGTGCTGTTTCAGTCTGACCTGATGGTTAAAAATCTCATGTCCCAAAATTCCAGTAGTCTCATCAAACAGGATTCTGTTCCTGTAAATACCCATACACTCATTTCAGTTAATGTTTTGGTGTTAACATTAAATACTTCCATGAAATACCTTCCACTACCACAAGTGTAATGTGGCCCAAATATATCTCTGAATGAATTATGCAGAATTCATCACTTACACTGTGGCACAGAGTCTCAGTGGGTAGTGCTAGCCTAACTGCTCACCAGTCTTGGCATCGTAATATGATACTAATGAAAACTTGGAAGAGAATAAAGCCATGGGCAAATGATTTTAGCAATTAGTTCAAAACTGTGCAGCTTTGGCTTGGTATCTCAGTTAGATCATTAAAGCAGTGGTCAGGAGACAAACTCCACTGAAATACACCTTGTAAGCTTACATATGATGCATGGGCTTGATTTTAAACTCAGATTTATTCTTTAGCCTCAATATATTAAAAACCAAAATGGGAAATGAAGGGAGTGAGGTGTTCCAACATCATGTAACATAGGCTTTGAAATGTCTTATTTGTTCTAAACCCAACCATACCGCTGAATTCTTTTTGGCTCTTACATTCATCTTACTACTATCTTTGTAAGAATAATATGCGTGGCTTTTGGTATATACCTCTATGGAAAAATGCCCCAGTATCTAATTATACTAAAAATCTGTTCCCATCATTGCTAAAATACCTATACTCATATAATAATTCAAGAACAGCAAATTTATTATAAAAATTCTTTATGAATAATGACAATAATACCTACCATTTATGAGCCTCTAATAAGTCCAGACATCATGGGAAGTATTTTACATGTATTTAAAACTTTCCACATCCAATGAGACAAGTATTATTTTCCCAATTTTACTTATGAGAAATCAGAAGCCTAGAGAAGTTGAGCGATTTGTCGAGATTCATGCAGCTGGTAAGGAGGTAAGCGAAGATTTGAAACTGCGGGCTGTCGTCTTCCAGGGCCTGTGCTCCTTAACTGCTCCACTGTCCTGCCGCTTCCTTTCGTTTGGATTATTACAATATGCTGATAGTGAGGCCACTCACTAGGCCACAGCTCCTCCACCATCACTCCCTCAAATTGAAACTACTCGGGCTTCAGATTCTGTGGCAGAAGGGGTGTTTTGTTGTTATTTTGACGTTGATGAACAATATCGATCCATAAGAACTTCTCCGTTAAAGTATATCTAACTAAAAAGTGGAAGAGCACTGACATTTAATGAGGAAGGAACACAGCTTAGGGAGAGAGAGTAAACTAAAAAGAACACTCGTAACCTGGATGTTAGAATCAGTGATAGTCATTTATAACCCTGTGGAGACTGTTGACTTCTCAAGCTAGAGATGAAATTATTCAGAGTAAACTGTGATTATCACAAAACATAATTCCATAATCAAAAACAGTATAAAAATATCCAAACAAGTGTCCCTTCTGTGTCCTGTTGACTGTATTTCCACCCGCCCTCACATCAAGCCTTAGCACAGGTGCAAAGCCGAAGGATGCAGTGCAGTTAGAGAGCGGTCCAGGAAAGAGTCACGTCGCTGTCTCCTCCGGGCTCTGTGTGTTGCATCCCTGTGTCTCAGGTCTCTTTCTTGATTTCGCAGATGAAGAAATCCACCAGATTTTTTAAAAGTATGACATTTTTGAGTATTACAGCATTAAGTCTAGAAATGCCCTCAGACAAACCCATGGGGCTAAATCTGAGCCATCTGTGCTCATCTGGAACCTATAGACGAAGCGATCTGGTTTAATTAAAAACAAGTTCTGCTCTAAATGTTAAAAATCTGATTTGGTTTTAACTCTAAAGTTCAACTCACTATGCTTTCAGGACTAGAATTCTTCATATGTTATATAGAAGATAAGTTCTTTGACATTCCTTAACAGAAAGGTCCATGCTCACAATGACCCAGTGCAATGTTTATTCATTCAACAAAAAGTACAGGACACTTAATATATGCGGTATCCCGTGTGAGGCTCTGGGAATGAAAACGTAACAATAATACCTACAGCCTTTGCTTTCACAAAATATATAGTCTACGTTCATGGGAAAAAATGAAAATTTAAATAAAAAATATAAGATTGGATGACATGTCCTGGCATAAAGACATGCCAAGGGTGCCATGGGAGCGTGGAGAAGAGGCCCTAATTCAACACGAATGGATCACAGAAAGCTTCTGGAGGGTGAGGCTGGGGCTAGTTCTTGAAAGGGGAGGAGTTAAGGAATAGCAAAGGCACTGAGGCCTGAGACGCGCGAACAGTTTAGAGAAGAGCAAATAGTTTGTTGTTTCCACAGTGAAGAGACTTGAAAGATAAAATGGTGGGAGCCACAGGCGGGGTCTCCCACAGGGACCCAGCGGAGCACTCTTCTGGACTGTTGGGGTACCGGGGCGCAGGCAGACGCTGAGGGTCCACGGGAGCATTTTAATTAGGGAGTAGCGTGACCCGTAACGTGTGCAAGACTCCACGCTGAGCAGTTTACACTGATCATCTTTTTAATTCTGCCAGGGTTATACATCTGTTTTTAGAAGCTTAAGTAGCTTCCCCCAAATCTGATAACCACTGAATGGAGGAGCGGGATTAGAACCCTAGAAGCCTGTGACAATGGCAGCAGCAGGCAGCGAAAATCATGTTCTGAATTACAGTTTGTAAATCCCATGACAGTGACTTTCATTAGACTCTTGAGGAGACAAAATGTTTGAGAAGAATTTGAAAAATTTCTTTGTCTAAACCTGGAGTTTGGGTACATAGACTGCCTCTCAAGTCAGTTTACAGCCTAAGGGGAAATCATTTAAAGGGTCATTTTTTATCTGGTTGGCTTTCAATTGCATTTTCAAAGCATGCTGTTTATATCCAGAAGAGAATTTCTATGAATAATGTCATAGTAGGATATGGGTAGGCTGGCTATAAATTTAGGAATATAATGGTATGAATCTCAGTCCACAGCCTCCGTCTTTTCCTCTTCATTCACTCCTAGCTCATCTTTAAGTTTTTACAGCTTTTGTTTCTCGAGCAGTGTCTGAACTATTGTAATGTGAACTTTGTTATCAAGTCACCTCTTGTGGATTCTGTTTAACTAACTTTATAATAGGGACACAGAGATGGGTGTGCGCGGGGGGGATTATGTACACACTCATTTGATAGTCTGGTTGACATTTTTTAAGGTAAGTGAAATGAGGTGGTTTACAATTAATTCTCTTTAGCCATACCTATTTTCTTTGTTCAACTTTTGGTTTGCTAACAACCAATAAGACAATAATATAAAATATGACTTAATTCCTTTTCAGAATCATAATGTTCTTAACCAACCACTGTGCTCTACAAACGTGGTGGCGTCTGAAGGCCACTGGTTGGTTTTTTTCCAGAGGCAGAATATGCTAGTGGAAACTGGCTAACAAACGTAAAGGTTGCTGGTTATGACTGCCAGCACTGTAAAAGAACCGATTTTAACTAGAGCTACTGGTGCCTCTCTCCCTAAGTCCATAGAACAAGTTACATATGTGTGTATGGAGGTAGAGATAGACAGATGGATGGATACATGGATTGGTAGATCTAGATAACTGATTGATAGATATGCAGATAAATAGGTAGATGGATGCTCACTCATGTATAGTCACAGAAGACTTTCCTTTTGTGTTCTAATGCTGACATTTTGTATGTCCGCTGATCTCTCCCTGGACTGCGTATATAGCTAAATATTGTGTCCACAAATGGCATTCCTGAGTGCCTGTTGTGTACCAGCCTTTTCATTAGGCACTGTACTTGATCCCCCCACCTTTTTAGAATGGATTTAACAAAATTACAGTAAACTACAGAGTCAGTGATAAGAAAATAAAAATACATAAATATTCCATGTGGATCTTCTTGAAAGATAGAAGGAAGATACATAGGCATTAGGTAGAAGCTGCCTAATATAACAATTTTCTCAAAATTAAAACAAAATTCATATTATGCCCCAAAGTATCAAACACACACACACACACACACACACACACACACGTTAAGTACAGGCCTTTTCGGCTTATTTGGTTGAACAACAAGAAATTTCAACCACCTCATATTTGTTATTACTTCTCAGTTAATTTTCTGGAGAAGATGTGCTTCTTTTCAATGGAGAAAAAGATGAGAATTAAAATTAAAATGTTATCTACTTTTCTATTATTTATCCAATAATGTTATCCATATCCTTACAAACTGCTTGAAAAAACATATTTGATTCAATTTTCACAATACTCTATTAAAATTACACCTATGTTTTTTAAAAAGAAATAAAAATAATTTAAAGATAAGGAAATCAAACATTTATTTTTATTTAAAACATCACCAAGATTTTATCCAATATTCAAATGTATTTTAGAGTAACAGAAAATAATTTTATGTATGCATTTTTAAAAGCAAAATAAATCTGGCTAGATTGCAGCCAGTTTGAACATTTTCCTTAAATATTTGAAAAGATCCTGTGAAGCTATCAAAAGGGAGTAGAAGTCATACTTCGAAGGCCTTTTTAACAAAAACTGGAATTTCGCACGTCATAATTTGCAGTTTACCTTTTCCAGTGCCTTAGTGGTTATTCACATGACCCGGGAGAATTAATACATTGCCAGCTTACAAGCAGTGCGTTCCTTTTCCCTGAAAAGATTAATTAAACCTTAAATTTTAACAATGCGTGAATTTAGCTTTCCACCTCCAGGCTATAGAAAGCACTTTTGTAGCACAAAAGCCACATCTGTTGACATTTGTAAATGTATTGTTTACCAAAAGTAGTAACAATGAAGCAGATTTATGTCATGTAAAATAACCACACAAAAGTCTTCAGGATCAAGCTTAACTAACCAAACTATAAATTATTGAATCACACTGGGTATTTCAGAATAGAATCTTATGTCACATCTTACCATTTATACAAAAAGTTTTGTGTAA